GTCTCCTCAGTAAAGGGTTAAATATCAATTATTTAGCTCTTAACATGAATTAAAGTGTCATTTTGCCCAAGTGTATTTGCATTTTATGTCTACGTTCGCTCAGGAATGAAAACCAAGAAATAGCCGTAAGAAGGGGTGCTCTAGAAGAGCCATTTTGCAGTCGGTACCCCTCCCCCAACCCCATTTCCGGTTCTCATTAGCTGTGTGGCTTCGGGTAACTTATTTTTCCTCTATTGTCCTTGACATCCTCATTTAAGGGTCTCAGAGTTCCTTCCAGCTCTAAAAACCATATCTGTAAGACTGGTATTAGTCGGAGGACCCGAAGCCAGCTCAGAAATCACCCACAGGCCTATACAGTCGCCCCATAACCAACCTGACCCAGGAAGCTTTGAACACGCCCAGCGTGCCCTCTCGCCCGCCCCTCCCCCAGCCCCATGGGAGTCTCCCAGACCATCCCCCTCCCCTAAGGACAGGGCCTCACCTCGGCCAGGCTCTCAGGGTGGTGGTAACCAGCCCCCTCCTCCTCTCCCCTCCCAAGCCCCATTTCCTGTCTAGCAGATTTACAACATAGTTCAAAGAAGGAAGGATGATATAACAGCTTTCCCGCTCCCTCCCTCTCCCAACTGACTTAGTCTAGCTGGCTTGGGGCCAAGTGGTTTTGTTCTCCACAGCCTCCCATAAGTAAAAATACTCCAGGCCCCAGCCCTCCCGCCTGTGACATGGCGTCAGCTCCCAAACCCACTGGTCAGGCTTTCGCTCGTGGGCGGGAAGGAGGCAGCCCTGTGCAGCGCTGGAGTCTAATTAAGTGCTGAGGAAATAAACCATGGGCTTCAATTTTAGTTCTGAAAATAGCTATGGCCTAGGATTCCTCCCTCTCTGGCCTGAGCTGGGAGACTGGTCCCACCGCTTGTCTTCCTGTGCCTGGGCTTCAGGGTTTGCAAAGGCAACGAGGTGGTGGGGAGGAGCGGACGAGGGTCCGAGAAGCAGAAGCAGCCCACAGAGGCCCAGGGGGTCAGAAGTCAGTGGGAGAGGCACACTTCAGGGACAGGGGGATTCCAGCCCAGGGGCTTGGGCTTCTCCACACCCTCCATCCCTACTGTTCATTCTAGCCCCTGCTTCTCGAACGTGCTCTCAGTCTGCAGGGCATCCAAGAGTTCTGGGTCCTGCTGAATGCACCTCCGGAGCCCCATGTGGCTAAGAACGCAAAGCTCCAGCCGACATTGAAGCAATTCTCTAGGCAGATCATAGAATACACATCATGGTTTCGTGTATAATCAATCCTCTTGGGCAATGAGGCTGAGGAAAAACATCAACAAATGGATTTGTGGAAATAAAAGCTTTTGCCAGTCAACTGAATGTCTAACTGGGTCTGTTAGACTGGATCCTGAGCATCCTCCCGTCTGCCTCTCTGCCCGGAAGGAGAGAATCAGCCTGCTGAAGGACACAGGCTACCCGCATGAGTCCAGATGAAGAGGGGCACACCCGTGAACTAATGGCAAGTCCAGAGGGGTCATCAGCTTTGCGAGGTGGGAACTCCTTGGTCGTTCGCCCCATCCCAGCTCTTCTCACGCTACCTCGTCACTAGCTGTCGTCTCCCGGTCAGATCATGGGCACGGGCTCTAGATTCCTTCCTCCCTTCCACCATTACCCGGCACACCGTAGATGGCTGGCTCAAGGGCTTTTGTTCCTTTCCAGCCTCCCGCTTTGAGCAGTCAGGACTGAGCTTGCTCCCTATTGTCATGAGCCCTGTTGCCTCAGCACCAAAGGGCCCGGGCCTGATGCCATGGTCAAGGACACGGTGAAGTTCAGTGAACAAGTTTAGCTCATCTGCCTGGCCGGCCAGAGGGGACAGCAAAACCACGGGGAGGCCCCTAACACCAGTGGTGACTGTGAAGCCAAACATCACATGCGCCTGAAACTAAGCCAGCACTCGCTGCTTCTAGGCAACAGTTGGAATAAAAACGAAGAATTCCAGAGGCAATCAAACTCAAAGGGCAGGAGTGGGGGCTCTTACCTGCCACTCTTGTGACAGCTTTTCCATCGGGCAAAAATGCAGAGCCGCCGGTGCCCTGTGCAGAAGCCCCTTGGGCTCCTTCTGGGAGCTCTCTTCGGATTTCTTTGGTCTCTTCAGATTCATTCAGTCACGCCCTCGTGTTCTGAGCAGGTGCCATAGCTGCATATGGTGCGTGCAGTGGGGGCGGCCCCTTACAATACAGTGGGACAGGGCTGCATGGAGGCGCGGCCACGGGGCTGCGGGGGGGCGGAGGGTACTCGGCCGTCCCCGGGCCGCTGCCTACCCACCCCTTGACCCGGCTCTTGTAAAGGGCCCCGTGCTGTGGGGGACAGTCAGGGGAAGCCTCGGCTCCCTGGTCTCCTGCTTTTCGCTTTCGGGAGGCTCCTCGGGGCCCCGTCGTTCCTCCACAGCCCCTTCTCTTGCTCGAGTCGGAGGCCCCAACCCAGGCGACGCGGGGCTGTGCTAGGGCTGCTGGGATGGCGGAGGGAGCGCCCTCCTGCCCCACCCTGCGGGCAACTGTCTCAACCCCCCGCTGTGCTAGTGGAGGCGCAGTGCGGTGTGGCCAAACCACAGAGTCCCCATGTGGAAGATCCCGTTTCCTAACCACCTTGGCCCGACATCAGTGGCAATATTGCCCCACAAGGAGTGGCAAGCCATTTACTGCGGGAACCGCCGGGGCTCAAACACCAAGTTCAGACACGAAGAACTCCCCTCTGGAGGGTAAAACCGAGTTCAGAAAGAAGGAAAACAAAGCTTTCAGCCCAACTCTCCTGCGCGGACACACCCTCCGCGCCGGAGCGCGCAGCTGCCTCCGAGGCCTCCTTCTAGGGCCGGCCCCTCCTCAGAACCCCATGGTCCCCAGCTGTGCCAGCTTCCCGGCCTCCTTCTTAACCCCTCGGTTTCCTCTGTCACCACCAGAGAGGAGTTAGGCCTCAGAAATCCTGTGCAGTGCTCGAGAGCAGAGCACCCACCGCACGGTGCTAATGGTGTGCACGGTCTAGAGTTTCACCTAATAAACCAAATTAATAATAATTGCGGCCATTTATGGAGTACCTTGTATGACTTACCCGCTTGCGTTATTAGCTCTTCTGAGACCTCTCAGCTTTGAACACTAACTAGGAGGGAGGAATTGTTTCACTTGTCCTGTGAGAACATGGAGGCCATGCAGCCCCAGCGAGCAAAGGCAGGATTTAAACGGCTTTGCTCTCTTTCTGCCCACCCTATCACTTACTTTGAGCAAGAGTTGGTTCTCAGATGTGCAGATTAAAGAGATAACCACCACTCTAAAAAACTTTAAAACCAGAAAACACTGGATTGCAGGTTGGAAGAACCAGGGTTTCTCCCTAACCAACGGGGCTCATTGACTTTGGACAAGTACCAGCTTCCTTGAGCTCCCACAACCTTATCTTCAAAATGGTGCAAGTAAAAATATCTTCCTTTCCTCCCTCTTAGGTTTGTTGGAAAATCAAATAGATCCAGTTGGGCAAAAGCATCAGAAACTGTAGAGAAGGATGCTGGATGTCTCCGACTCTCCCATGGCACACAACATAGTCTAAGACAAGAGAGGCCCCCGCAGACCAGGTGATCTCAGAGTGAGTTTGGGGGTCTGACATGCCAAGAGCCTTTCATTTCATTCGTTGGAAACAGGCTCTGAGGCACTAAGACTCTGTTATTTTTATGATTTTGAAAGACTAGAAGGTGTATCATAATGACAAACTGAAGTCCTCTATGACTGAACCTGGCCCATTAACCAGGTGACCCCCTGGCAGAAACCATATGGAAGCCATTGTTTTCAACCCACCTACTGCTACCCTCTCTTATCACTGGCACTGTATGAGATTTTGACTCTCCCATGGAAAAGAATCAGTTAATTAAATCTGGATCATTGAGTTTATCACCAAAGCCCAGAAACAACCTCAATGTCCTTCAGCTGGGGAAATAGAGAAGGAATCATGGTATGTTCACACAACAGAATATTACTCAGCAACAAAAGAAATGAAAGACTGTTACATGCAACAAATTCTTTATGCAAAGTGGAAAGAGTCAGACTCAAAAGGCTTTGTACTGTATGATTCCATTTATATGACATTCTGGAAGAGGCAAAACTATAGGACTAGGAACAGATCAGTGGTTACCAGAGGTAAATTTCAGGAAGGATTTGACTAGAAGGGAGTGACACAAAGGAGTTTTGGGGGGATAATGAACCTGTTCTGTATTCTGATTGTGGTGGTGTTTACATGACTCTATGCATTTGTTAAAACTCAGAACCGTATACCAAAAGGAGTGAATTTTACAGTAAATTAAAACAGATTTTTTAAAAGTTAAAAAATAAACTACTCAGAATTTTTACAAATGGGTCACTGGGAAAGTAGAGCAATTTGGTAGGGAGTTCCATAGTGTAGTATGATGTTGTATTAGGTGCCAAGTATAATGTAGTAGTCTGGGAATTTGGCCACTAGTTCTCTGGCTTGTGTTGGCAACAGTCACCTGGGTAAGGTGTTAAAGAGGGCCCCATCCCCAGGTGAACTGATTCCCTGGAGTCTACATTTTAAACAAGCTTCCCAGGTTGTTTGGGTTCAGGTGGCTAATGGCCCACACTTTGAGACCCACTATTCAGCCCTTTTTCATTATTTGGGAATGAAATTCTTTCGTGAGCAGGTCCTTGTATGCCTTGGAGTTTCTACTAGTAAAATGAGGACAATTAGCCTGTCTCCTGCTTTATAGTGACTTGGGCTCAAACTCATGACCCCAAGATCAAGAGTTACATGCGTTCTGACTGAGACAGCCAAATGCCCCTCCCTTTTTTTATTTCATCTTTTACTGAACAGATCTATGTTTCACCATTTCTGAAATGTAAAGCTAAAATAGGGCTTTAAGGGGGTGCCTGGCTGGCTCTAAGCCCCACGTTGGGTATAGAGATTACTTAAAAATAAAATCTTTAAAAAAAATAAAATAACATAAGACTTTAAGAATGTCTACTAGTGGGATACTTACCTGGCAGGGGAGATACCATGATCACGAAGGTGGTTTTCCCAGGGCGAGGCTTATCCATTGCACTCCGGATGTGCTGACCCCTGCGATTTCCAAAAAAAAACAAAAACCAAAAAAAAACAAAAAAAAAGAATGTCTACTAGTGGGGCACCTGTGTGACTCAGTAGGTCAAGAGTCTGCCTTTGGCTCAGGTTGCGATCCCAGGGTTCTAGGATCGAGCCTTGTGTTGGGCTCCCTGCTCAGCAGGGGCATCTGCTTCTCTCTCCCTCCCTCTGCCCCTTCCTCTGCTCTTGCTCTCTCTCTCAAGTAAATAAATAAAATCTAAAAAAAAAAAAGTCAAATAGTAAAAGGGGGTGAGGTCCTATTCACACATTTAGTGAGTAGGCAACTAGGAAAATATCATAGCGATTTGGGATGGGAGAACATTCAGGTGTATATTGGGGGTGCTCCAAAGCGCTACCTCATTCCAGGGGCAATGGACTTGGCAGCCTTCATGATCTGTTCTTCTGGGGCCTGCACCCTGAACATCTTTTTTAGTAACCTGACATCTTGGAATTTACCCAACCTCTTGGGAAGTGGTAGCTTTGACCTTAAGGGGATATTGGTAAGAGGAAATTTTGTCTCTCTAAAATGCTTTGAGTTTTCTCACAGCAAGAAACCCAAAACCGGAACCATGCCTTCTGGGATGACCCATAATTCCGAGCTCTAGAACCATTCAAATAGAAGACAGAATAAGAACCTGGGTTCAAATCTCAATTCCATTGTTTATTGTCTGTGTGATTCTGGCCAAGTAATTCCTTAGAACCTCAAATTTTTACCTTCAAATATTTCAGGTGTAAAATGGGGCCAGTGACTCTACTGACTTTGCAGGGATACTATGCAATTTGAAAGATACACGCTGAGGTATTAAAGGTGTTATGATGGCTGAACTGTCAAAAGATTTGGCAAAGGGCGCCTGGGTGGCTCAGTTGGTTAAGCGACTGCCTTCGGCTCGGGTCATGATCCTGGAGTCCCGGGATCGAGTCCCACATCGGGCTCCCTGCTCAGCAGGGAGTCTGCTTCTCCCTCTGACCCTCTTCCCTCTCGTGCTCTCTATCTCTCATTCTCTCTCTCTCAAATAAATAAATAAAATCTTTAGAAAAAAAAAGATTTGGCAAAAACAAAACCATAAAGGGGTCCCTGGGTGGCTTAGTCGGTTAAGCATCTGCCTTAGCTCAGGTCATGATCCCAGGTCCTGGGATCCAGCACCGCCTCACTGGACTCCCTGCTCAGCAGGGAGCCTGCCTCTCCCTCTCCCTCTACTCCTCCCCCTGCTCGTGCTCTCTCCTCTCTCTCTCTCTCAAATAAAATCTTAAAAAAAAAAAACAAAACCATATATACCTGTATTATATACATTCATATATAAATATAAAACGAACATGGCAAATGTTAAAAATTGTTGAATCTAGGGTAATCATTCTTTCAACTTTTCTGTATGTTTGAAGATTTTCATTATAATATCAGGGGAAAAAAAAAAGATGATGCATGTAAGTCTGATGTACATGAGTCTTGCTCAATAGCCAACCTGAGCACCAGAGAGTGAATGAACAAGAAACAAGTAGCCGAAGCAGGGGGTGGTGTGTGTGTGTGTGTGTGTGTGTGTGTGTGTGTGTGTGTGTGTGTGTGT